CAGATACTTGACACTTCCCAAGTGTGGGGGCTGGGAAGGGCAGTCTCTTCTACTGAAGGCATTGTGGGTAGTCTCTCACTTTCTAGAAAACCCAATGTCATCTTTCAACTTCAGAAACAGCTTCTTCAAAATCTTTAGGGCTGGGGTGTGACTCATTTGGTACTGTCTCCCTAGCATGCACAAAGCTTGGGGTTCCAGCCCAGCACCATATAAACCTGGCTGTGGTAGCACACGGCTGTAACTCTAGAAGTGGGGTGGGGCAAGCAAGAGGATCAGAAGTTCAAGGTCATCCTCAGCAGCACACCAAATCTGAAGCAAGGACATGAGACCCTATTTCAAAAAACCAAGGGCTAGACAGACGGCTCAGCCAGTTAAGAGTATTGGCTGTTCTTCCAGGGGATACAAAACACCCAGACATAGAATAAAAAAAATTACCAGGCAATGGTGGCAAGCACCTTTAATCCCAGCACTTGGGAGGCAGAGGCAGGTGGATCTCTGTGAGTTCAAGACCAGCCGGATCTACAGAGAGTTCAAAGACAGCCAAGGATACACACGGAGAAAGAACAAACAAACATCCCCCAAACCCATTGATACACTAACTCACAGGAAGGGAGAGTGGAAGAGCAGCATGGGAGAAGCTGATCAAGCAACTAAAGGGACGAAGTTCAAGAAACACGGGAGCAACTGCACAATGGGTACCGTGCACAACAGGAGTGTACTGCACTTTTCAGGAAGCTAAAAAAAGGACTTGGAATTTTTAAAAAACTTGTTTTTGTTTTATTTGCATTGGTGTTTTGCCTGCATGTATGTCTGTGTGAGGGTGTCAGATCTTGATGTTACAGATAGTTGTTAGCTGCCATGTGGGTGCTGGGAATTGGACTTGGGTTCTCTGGAAGAGCAGTCAGTGTTCTTAACCACTGAGCCATCTCTCCAGCTCCTGATTTGAAATGTTTTAACCATTAAAAAAATATATAACATATGAAATGAAGTTGTTTAAACACTACATAATTGATATATGTGTCAAAATACCATGTGATCTCATGAAATAATTTTTATGTTTTTAGACTCTTAATGTGTAGGTCAGTGGTAGGGTGTCCACTCAGCATGGGGTGAGAGGACTGAGGACAATCCTCAGCATCCAAATAGCAATATGTGTGTGTGTGTGTGTGTGTGTGCATGCACACGTCCATGAGGTGTGTACATGTGTGGAGATTCCAGGTTGATGCTAGGAGTCTTCCTTCATTGTTCTCCATTTTATATTTTGAGACAGGGTCTCTCACTGAGCCCAGAGCTCACCACACAGTAAGACTAACTAGCCAGTGAGCTCCAGGCAATCCTGTCTCCACGTGCCCAATACGAAGATTACAGGTGTGCACCACTGTGCCCAGCATTTTTGTTGGTGCTGGGGAACCAAATTTAGCCCCTCATGCTTGTATGGCAAGCAATTTTGGTGCAAACAATTGTTCTCATCCTGTTCCCTCTAGTGAACATGGGTGGAAATGGCCATGCCAGTCACTTGTTCTCCACCTTAGGGTTACCAAACAGGACTCCCCTGAGCAAGAGGAAAAGCCTCAACAAGCTCTGTGGAAAAAAGAGAAAGGCTGCTAGGAGAGACATGGTAGGAACAGAGAGAAAGCAGGACGACACCATGGCCAAGAACAGACTTTGGTGCTACCAGATATGGCTTTTACTTTACCAACTGCATAGCAAACACCTCTGAATTTCTGTGTCTATGCTTCAGAGGTAATAATTCCTCATGGTGAGGAGGGGACCTGGAGAGATGGCTCAGTGGTTAAGAGTGCTTGCTGCTCTCTCAGAAGAGCCCAGTTCAGTTCCCACCATCTGGTGTAGGAGGGCCTTCTATGTGTTGCTTTCATTGGTTAATAAAGAAACTGCTCTGGGCCTGTTGATAGGGCAGAACTTAGGTAGGCAGGGAAGACAGAACTGAATGCTGGGAGAAAGAAGGACGGAGTCAGAGAGAAGCTATGGAGCCACCACCGGAGTCAGACACACTGAATCTTTGCCAGTAAGCCACTGCCACATGGCAATATACAGATTAATAGAAATGGGTTAAATTTCTATTAATCAAGATGTGAGAGTTAGTCAATAAGAGGCTAGAGCTAATGGGCCAAGCAGTGATTTAATTAATACAATTTCTGTGTGGTTATTTTGGGGCTAAGCTAGCTGGGCCCTCCTCCTACAACCGTCCATATCAGATGGCTCACAACTGCCTGTAATGTCAGCTCAAAGGGATCCAACTCCCTCTCCTAGCCTCCATGGATACCTGCACACACATGTGCCCATACACACACACACCAATAATAATAATAATAATAATAAAAAGAAATCTTTATTTTTTATTTTATTTTATTTTATTTTGAGAGATAGTCTCTTTACATAGCCCTGGCTGTCCTGAAACTCATTATGTAGAACAGGCTGGCCTCTTGAGTGCTGGGATTAAAGATGTATGCCACTTCTTAATTAGTTGATAACCTGGGAAGGTCCAGCCCTTAGTGGGTGGTACTGCCCTGTTCTGGTGGAGCTGGGTGCTGCCATGAGAAGCAAGCATTCTGCCATGGACTATGCATCAGTTCCTGTCTCCAGGTTCCTGCCTGGTGTTGATTCTCACTCTAGCTTCCCTCAATAGACTATGATTCAGGATATGTAAACTAAATAAACCCTCTCCTCCCCAAGCTGTTTTTGGTCACTATGTTTTGCCCCATGGTAACCCTAACTAAGCCTGTGTATGAGGATGAATGTGCCGTGTGCCATGCCAAGAGTATGGAGCTCAGAGGACAGCTATGAGTCGGTTCTCTCCCTCCACCTTCACATGGGTTCCAGGTCGGGAACAGACTCAGGGTATCAGCAGACTCGGCAGCTGGTGCCTTTACTTACTGAACCATCTCACTGCACTCTCTGAAGGTTGTTAAGAGCACTTCCTGCTCTTCCAGAGAAACTGAATTAGGTTCCCAGCACCCACCTGTAACTCTAGCTCAAGAGGCTATATATAGGTCAGCCTTGACTACAGTGGAGTCCTAGGACAGCCTGAGCTACAGATTAAGATCCTGTCTCCCCAAACCTGTGCGTGTGTGTTACTCCCTCAAATACATATTTTTGTATTATTTTAGCTCCACTACAAATACTGTTAAACAGGGTCCCCAAGGCTGGAGAGATGGCTCAGTTGTTAAAAATACTGGCCGCTCTTCCAAAGGACACAGGTTCAATTCCTAGCACCCACATGGCAGCTCACAATTGTAACTCCAGTTCTAGGGGCTCCTACACCCTCACAAAAATATACATGCAAAAACACCAATGTACATAAAAATAAACAAACCAAGCAAAACAAAACAAAAAACAGGGCTTGCACTCAGGCAAGATTAAGTCTATTCCCATTTTGAAGGCTGTGAAGACAGGCACAGACACTACCACCTGCCATGTGCTGGAGAAGAGGGAAGGCCTGGCTGCTGAGCCTAACAAAAGGCAGAGAAAGCTAGCCTGGCCTGTGGGCAAGGAGCTGGAATGGGCCAGTGCAGTAATTTAAGAGTTCAAACTCTGGACTCAACCTAAATCAAACTCCAGTTTTTTTATAACCTAGATGTGGGGCTTGAGCAATTCAGTTTCCTCATTCGTAAACCAGCAATAACAAGAGACTCTAGTAACAGGGAGGCCTCTCCCCCTCCACCCCCTGCGTTCTTTCTGGGTAGTGGGGACTTAGTGTAGGCAGCTGGAAAGTCGTAAGGCTCCACTGTCCTGACTGCAGAGACCGACTCTGGAGATGGGGGTGTGTTAATGAAGACGATCATACCCCCATCTGCTGTAGTCCTAAATATCTCATGTCGCTCTGTTAAATACTTTCACACGGTGAGTTCCAGGCATGTCGGGGCTACATAGTAAGAACTTGTCTCAAAAAAAACCCAGACTATAGACTATTTGAACCGAAGATGAAGCTCCATGATGCAGCACTTGGCTACTATGCCTGAGGACCCGGGTTTGATCCTGAAGGAGTCTGATTGAGGACCCAGACAATCAACATCTAAATCTTGGCTCCAAATCAATCACCCAATCATTCAATCGATCCTGGCCCTCACACTGCTGAGAAATGATATTAAGTCACAGAAACTCTTCATGTTTCTATTCCCTTGCCCTAAGTGGGGCACATGTTATCATCTACCAGCTTCACAGTTTCAGGCTGCAAACTCATTAGTGACACATGCATAGAATAACTAAAAGAGTACCCGGTGTATAATCAGTGATTTAAAAATGTTGTTAGCTTTTATAATTATTCTAATTGTAATTTTGGAAGATTAAATACTAAGTTAACTACATTTTGCTTGATATCATAATATGTTTTGGAATTAAAACATATACTAGGTGAGTATAAAAAGAAATCAAGGAGAAGAATAAGAAAATTTTTAAATTATTCTATTATTTAGTGTGTGGGTATTCTGGCTGCACGTATGTCTATGCACCAGTTATGTGTCTATTGCCTGCAGGGGCCAGAGGACGACACTGATTCTGCTAGAAATGGAGTTATAGACAACTGTAAGCTGCCATGTGGGTACCGGGAATTGAACCTGGGTCCTCTAGAAGAGCAGTCAATGCTCTTAACCACTTGAGCCACAGTTGAGTCATCTCTCCAAGCTCAAAAAGGGTAAGATTTTAAAAGACAGAGGGCAGAGAACAGAAGCAGATCAGTGCTAACAATGAAGTAGACAGGGCAGGCAAGTTTGGCCGCATACATCAGCAAACCCTGTCACTCAGGAGGCTGACATGGGAGGTTCAAGACAAACCTAAGCAATTCTATAAGCAGCCCTTCGACCACCAGTTCAAAACCAGCTTGAACTACATAGCAAGTTCCAAGCTGACCAGCACAAGCAGAAGGCAGAAGCAGAGAGAGGACACTGAAAGTGTCACCCTCACAAAACCAACATCATCACACATGTCCAATAAAACCTCAGAAACAGGCTTAGGGTCAAGGAAAGACAGCGGCATATACTCACTCATGAACTCTGCTGTCACCATAAAGATCACTCAGGCCAAAGCTGATGTAGTGCCAGTGCTCAGGGATGTTGGCAGAAGGACTCCCCATATTCCTGTACATGCTAACATAATCCAACGGGTCTGGACCACCCAACCTGCAAAAGACAAAACACACGGTGTCTGATGTGGGAGTGTCATATCAATCTGTTGATTTCATTGGCTGAGCAATAAAGAAACTGCTTGGCTGGCCCTGATAGGTTAGAACATAGGTGGGAGGACTAAACAGAATAGGATGCTGGGCGGAAGAGGAAGTGAGGTCAGACTCTGCTCTGCTCCTAGAGAGACGCCACGCTCCGCTCTCCCTGGCAGATGCACGCAATGAAGCTCCTCAGATCCAGGATGGACATAGGCTAGACTCTTCCCGTTAAGCGCACCTTGGGGTGCTTACAAACAATCATTAGAAATGGGCTAGTCCAGGTGCGAGAGTTAGCCTAGAAGCGGCTAGATAGAAATGGGTCAAGCAGTTAAATGAATACAGTTGGTGTGTTGTTATTTCGGGCATAAGCTAGCCAAGCGGCAGGGGTGTTGGGGACGCAGCCCCGCCGCCGCTCCTATTTCAACAGGTGTCAATTTAAACCTAGAAACCAGAAAATATCAAGTAAGAGGCTCTGCTCTACAAACCCGAAATCTCCATCCTAGAGGGACCTAAAACAAAAGGTAACTAAAGCAGGGCAAAAATCTCTCTAGCGATGAGCCAAGGAAAAGCATCCAAGGCTATGTGATCCCACATGGTCAAGAAACTCCCTCCTCTTCCTTCCAACAGACAGGGCCTCTTTTAGAAATGAAGCAGACTTGCTGGCTGCACATTTTGCTGACTCCAAATGGAGTCTTCTATGGTGCCTGACAGCATGTCAGGCTTCAAGAGATGCATCAATGGCTTCTGTTGAATGACCATCCAGAGTATGACCAATGGACATCATTCCTGCAGTACAGGTTTCATTCTATACCTGTCTCTTAGACAGCTAGTTCCTGAAAGCCTATATTGTGTCTTCTAGTATCATTTCTTCTGAATACACACAAAGCCTCTGGCCTGCACAGACCCCAGCCTGAACACCACAGATCAAAATGTAGTCACTGCAAGTTACCATGTCCAAGCATCAGCTAGCCCAGCTCTGCACCGAGCACTGCACCACAACCTAGACCGAACCCTGTCAGCACCTGCATTCTAAAGAGGGTCCCAGAGCCGGGCAGTGGTGGCGCACGCCTTTAATCCCAGCACTCGGGAGGCAGAGGCAGGCAGATCTCTGGGAGTTCGAGGCCAGCCTGGTCTACAAGAGCTAGTGCCAGGACAGGCTCCAAAGCTACAGAGAAACCCTGTCTCGAAAAACTAAAAAAAAAAAAAAAAAAAAAAAAAAAAAGTAAAGAGGGTCCCAGGAGGAATCTGTCTCAAAGGGAGAGCTAGGACAGTTCACAACTTGAAGCTCCTAAGAATCACACTAAGTCTCCTCATAAACCCAACAGAGAAGCAGTTGAGGAAGAGATTCAGTCATTACCTCACTGGAGATTTAACTCAATAAAAGTTCTTTTAGCAATTAGTGCCTAGGCAAAAGAAAGCAGACAACAGACAAGAGGGCTTTCCTTCAGAATGGACAGGAAAACAGACTTGAGAAGCACACTAAATGGAAACCATCAGCAGAAGAGAGTGTGCACTGAGCCCATGAACCCCACAGTTGAGCTGCCTCACATGGACTGCTCCACAGACTGTAGACGCCTTGCCTGGCCTGGGACATGGACAGGAGTGAATGCTGCAAGTGGGCTAAACTACTGAGGGAATGCTAACAACCAAATACAAGACATGGTACAGGAGATCCCAGCAAGTGTGCCAGGACAACGCAATTCAAACCCTATCTTAAAACCAGTAAGTCTAGTTTCATCTTCTTTGCCAGGATGTTATTAGCCTTTGTAGAAATCTTTATTCTCTGGGGGAAAAACTAAGTTACTTATAGAATTCATAAGAAAGAAAGTCACTCCAAATAGCTTAACTCTCACCTGAGTGAGTTAGGTAAGGGGACAAGTCTCTATGTCTGCTTTTTGTTTGTTTTCTTTTCTTTTAATTTTTTTTTTTTTTTTTTTGAGACAGGGTTTCTCTGTGTAGCCCTAGCTGTCCTAGAACTCACTCTGTAGATCAGGCTGGCCTCGAACTCACAAAGACCTCTGCCTCCCAAGTGTAGGGATTAACGGCATGTGCTCCACCACCCAGCCTCTGTCTGTCTTTAACTGTGATTTCACCAAATCATTTGACTTAAAGCCATAATCAGTTGAATTTAAAAACATTTTGGGGAAGGATAGAGGACCCCATTATGGCTGCAGAATCCTAAAAAAGACAGGCTCCATATTCCCTCCAACTTCCTACTGGAAATCCCAAGAGTCTTTGCTGCAGCCTAGGTCAGACCAGCAACAAGCAGTGACACTGTTGGCCACCCTGCTCCACCTGCCAGCACCCTGTAGCTCCTTCAGACAGACTCCCAGGAGAAGTCACATCAAATAGGGGCCACAAGAGGAGTCAGGGAGCCTGGCGGTGGTGGCGCACACCTTTAATCCCAGCACTTAGGAGGCGGAGGCAGGCAGATGTTTTTGAGTTTGAGGCCAGCCTGGTCTACAGAGTTCCAAGACAGCCAGGGCTACACAGAGAAATCTTGTCTTGAAAAACAAAAAACACCAGCACTCGGGAGGAAGAGACAGAAGGATCTCTGTGAGTTTGAGGCCAGCCTGGTCTACAAGAGCTAGTTCCAGGACAGGAACTTTGAGTCCAGGCCATAGTGAGTTCTAGGACAGCCAGAGCTACACAGTGAGACCCTGTCTCAAAACAACAAGAAGAAGAAAGATTAGCAAGAGCTCTTTTCCACTCAGAAGCACTCGACTGCTTTTCCGTCTGGGAAGAGTGTGCCCGCCACAGATGCACTGCCGACACACCTCCTGGCTACCAGGCCCCCGCCAGGTCCCCAGGCCCTTTCAGGCTGTCAGCTTTCTTTACATCATCCTCCCACTGGCATGGGGAGTTAGCCTGGGCCCTGTGCAGCCTAACTGCCTTCTCTAGGAGTAACAAGATGTCACACAGGAAAAAGACCCAGCCTTAAAGGGGGTGTAAGCAGCCCCTTCTCCCTTCAAGTCTACCTTTTGCCAATTACTCCCCCCGCCCCCAGCAGCCGCCAGGATCCACGGAAAGGGGTCATCTACAGTGAGCTCCTGCATGGACGTGGCCATCTCTTAGTCTATTTTTGGTTCAGAAAGACCCTGAGAACTCGTCCTCATCACACCTGTTTTGTCTGAAGGCTGACTAAAGAAACGGGTTGCAAACAAGAATGGGAAATCAGAAAGTGTCATTTCTACCCCCAAAGAAAGAGCATTTGGAAACTGATCCTTTTACTGGGCATCCTTAAAGTTATCCTGGGCTTCCCAGAGAAACTTCGGTTGAAATACCGAAAACATGACAGGAAGCGCTTCTTCAGGCTGCACTTCACTGCCTCGGGTCTCCACCATGCACCTCCCACGATAAGTGGCAAGCTACGGTCCCCTTCAACCCCCGAGCGAAGAAAGCATGGCTCTCCCTGAGCCTGTTCTTAACTAACGTCCTAAAGCAAAAGCAGCTGCAACGCCAGAAGCAAGCTCTGCAGAGAGAGAACTGTGCAGAGTAAGCAAAAAGTTTATCTGGAAGAGTTGCTCTGTCAAACTTCAAGAGCAACAGCTTCGCGCTGAATGACAGAAGCCCCTGCGCTCGGGAAGGTCCGGAAAGAAGGTCATCTCCTCAACCCTTCACTCCTCAAAGGCACAATGCCCTCATCTTGCTCCCTCCTAGCCCACAGGGGCGTCCTGGTCCCCGGACCGCCCTAGACTACGCGGTCTCGTGCCCTCAAAGCCCTCGCAAATGTTCTCCAGGCCCCGCCTCACCTCCCCCATTCCACTCCAGCCGCCCCCCTGGCTTCCCAGAGCCCACTAATGACCCACTACGGGCGCCCCCTCCTTTCTCCACGTTTACAGTTCCCTCTCACACACACACCCCCGCTCCTGCATACACCCCCAGTTCTCCCAATCCCGGTTAACCCCTCACTACTCAAGGGATCCGTTAACCCTTTGTCCCCATTCCCAACTTCTGTCTTAACTCCTTCCCCAGCATCAGGAAGCTCTTGGTTCCCAAGTACTTTAACTGTTTTCTTCCTCCCGCTCCAGCAAACTACTTCGTCCCCGGAGCTCGAAGCTTTCCCGGCCGGCCCCCCATCCTCCCGAGGCCCAGAGCGTACCAGTACTTGACGATAGCGGTGACCTGGAGCGGGTTCGGCTGGTCGGGGTAAAGGCGGCGGCACTCTCCGTAGATGGCGTGCAGTCCCGGGGGAAAGAGGGAGGCAAAGGCCGGAGGGGCACTAGGGCCAGGGGCCGGGGGCGCGGCGGGACCGGGGGCGCCGCTAGGCCGCAGCTCCGCCATCGGGGCGCGGAGGGCGCGCGGGGAACCCGGGAGGGTAGAGGAGGGAAAGCGCCCGATGGACCAGCGGACCCACTGTGGATGCGACTCCCCGAGGCGAAGGGGGCTACGGCGAGGTCTAGCTCCGCGCCTGCGCACGGTGCTTCGTCCGCCCAAGCCCTAGCCTTCGCGAAGTCGGCCAGAGGGTGCTGAGGGACCGCGGGGAGCTCCAGGGGGCGGGGCGTCGGCGTGCCCTTGGCTGGCACCTATTGGCTAGTGCCGTTGCCAGTCACAAGAGGGGAAGGCGTGACTTGACAATGGGCCCCGCCTCCCTGCCCCTGTGCTGGGAACGTCCCAAGGATCTTGGCCTCCCCCTAGTGATAGGAGGAACCCAGTTTTAACCCAGACGCAATTTAAAATAGAGGTGCTAGGGTCCGGTGATAGCTCTAAGAAGCTCCTAAGAAGCGCTTAACATTATTTTGTTGACCCGATTTTAAGATAAGCCCGACAACTGACCAATTCATTTTTTTGTGTGCCATTATTTTTTATTTGTTTGGTTTTTCGAGACAGGGTTGCTCTGTGTAACAGTTCTGGCTGTCCTGGAACTCGCTTCATAGACTAGGCTGGCCTCGAACTCATGGAGAATAGTCTGTCTCCGCCTCCTGAGTGCTGGGATTAAAAGGCGTGCGCTACCACCGCCCGGCGTGTGTCATTAATAATATATTACAATCCTTTACTATTTCTAGGCGCTAGTGACTAAAAGCAACTTGAAGAGGCAGGGAAATAAATACTCCAAGGAAAAAATCAGACTGTTAGGGGGCTGGAGAGATGGCTCAGTGGTTAAGAGCATTGCCTGCTCTTCCAAAGGTCCTGAGTTCAATTCCCAGCAACCACATGGTGGCTCACAACCATCTGTAATGAGGTCTGGTGCCCTCTTCTGGCCTGCAGGCATACACGTAGAAAGAATATTGTATACATAATAAATAAATAAATATTAAATAAAATCAGGCTGTTAAAAGCATTTATGCATACTTTCTCTTCACTTAAATATTCTCATCCATCTAGGTTTTACGCTCAAGAAAAGAGATACTAAAGCAGTTTTTAAACATTTAGGTGAGGGCTGGAGAGATGGCTCAGAGGTTGAGAGCGCTGACTGCTCTTCCAGAGGTCCTGGGTTCAATTCCCCGACAACCACATGGAGGCTCACAACCATCTGTAATGGGGTCTGGTGCCCTCTTCTGGCCTGCAGGGATACACGCAGACAGAATATTGTATACATAATAAATAAGTCTTTAAAAAAAATGATGATATTTTAGGCCAGTAGTTCCACTGCATCCAGCTTTAGATGTTTTTGATAACTTTTGTTAGCTTTTGTTATAAGGGTTTTTGTGTTGTTTGTCGAGGACAGGGTTTTTCTGTGTGGCCCTGGCTGTCCCGGAACTCACTCTACAAATCAAGCTGACCTCGAACTTAGAAATCCGCCTGCCTGTGTCTCTCGAGTGCGTAGCTACCAGCTGGAGGGGCTGCAGATCTTGTACATGCAGGAAAAGCAATCTACCACTGAGAGACATTCCAGTCCCAGAAATGTTTATTAATAGTTTATATTGCCCAAGTGAAGGAATGGCTGAGTGGTGGGACTAATCTGAAAAATTTAACCGCACCTGAACTACTGACTAATCTCAGCCCAAGTACTCTAGACTCTAGAATTTAAGAGTGTACTGGGAAATGCTTCGAAGGGACTACAAATCCAGGCATGCATCAACCTGTGGCTCTCGAATCTACCGAGACTACAAACCCCATGGCACCCTACATCGGAAATACACCGACCAATTTTCTAAACTCCGCGGGACTCGGGCCCTGTTTGGAGCGCTGGCCCTGCGGCAAAGGGTTCTGGGGACTGTAGTTCTTGGGAGACGCGGTCGGGCCGCTCCCTGAACGCCCAGAACCGGCGATTAGACTGCGCATGCGTGTCAGTGGCGTTTGCAGCGGACCGGGCTGGCAGTTCCTTCCTCGGAAGGAAAGATTCCTCTGCCATGGAGTCCTACGATGTGATCGCCAACCAGCCTGTTGTGATCGACAACGTGAGTAGCGTCTTTCCTATCTCTGAAGAGACTGTGCTGTCCTCCAGAAGGGATCGTTTCCGAGGTTTCAGCCTAGGCCGCCTGCTCTTTGTCACTGGCCCGGCCTGTCAGGCGGGTTCAGCCGCCGCCGCCCCCGTCCTCTCCACATCCACAGTTTGTACGGAGGGCGGCCAGCAGCACCGTGTGACGGAGAATTTGAGGGCAGACAAAGGGAAGAGGTGTAGACTGAGAAGGGTCCTTGGACCCTCGGCTCAAGGGGCCTTAACCGTTCTCTGGGACCCTAGCACCCGCCTTCTCCCTGGCCTCCCATCACTCAATTGGCTGCTCTCCCCGTCTATCTTGGCCTATTGGTCCCGCCTCCGGGCCTTGCCGGATTAGAACAGCACTCTGCGATTATTGGCTGGCGCCCTTGTCGCTCTTGTGGCCGCCATAGTGTTTCCCTTCTGTGAGGGGTGGGGCAGTGCTCTAGGGCGGTGGGGATTGGCTGGACTCACTCAGTGCGGAAGGCGATGGGCTGGGCCACCGGTGAAGAAGGGCAGTTTCCTTGGGTGTGAGCCGGCCGGCCGGGCGGCGTTGTAAACTGTACCTGGGTGGGGCCGGGTAATCTTGTGCCAGAAATGGCTATAGGATATCAGTTATTTTTGTAATTATAAATTATAGTTAGTAAAGGTTAACAAAAAAGGAGAGTGAAAAAATGAAAAGCAAGCCAGGTGCTTTCCTTTTGCAGTGCCCAGCTGAGAGGCGGCAGATTATCTATGCAGTGTCTGTCAGGGACGCTAGCGTTTGCAGGGCACTTTGGCCAACATATAAATGGAAGCCTCGGGAAAAGGGAATGGCTCAGAAGGAAGTTTGCCGCCCCTTTCACAGAAGGAACCCCAAAGGTGGAAGAGATCAAGGTCATATTCCGCAGCGGTGCCCTCTGAGTTGTCGCCTTATCCAAATGTCGTTCCTTTGCTAGCCACGCCCCCACAAATGCATCAATAATGACAAATAGAACCTAACTATTGCTCTTATGAGGCTGGGCACTTATCTTCAGTTTCTGTATTTCACTCAAAGGTTTGGTCCAGGCGAGACTGATTGAAATCTTCCGTGCTCTTTCAAGACCCCCTTCTTTGAGGCAAACCACCAGTTCCCTCTGTCCTAGGCCGACCTTATCCGATCAGAGTACCTGTGATGCCCCAGCCCTTCTGACCTGGGCGAACCACTAGGTTCTTTTATTTGCATCGTAGGTAGATGAAGATTGCTCTCCCCAGTTTATGCAAGAACAGGAGGCTGGGGAAGATTTTTCAGGCTACCCACTTTAGGAGTTGAAGATCCAACTAACAATGAAATCACCTGGTTCCAAGTTCTTCAGTCTTTCAAGGAAGGCTGCTTTATATGTTGTAAACTGCCTTTTTAAAAGGTGAGGCTGAGCCGGGACGTGGTGGTGCACGTCTTTAATCCCAGCACTCTGGAGGCACAGGCAAGCGAATCTCTGTGAGTTCGAGACCAGCCTGTGGACAGAGCGAATTCCAGAACAGCTAGAACTGTTCTGTAGACAAGAACCTTGTCTTGAAAAAAAAAAAAAAAAAAAAGAACAAAAAGGGTGAAGCTGAGACTGGGGGGTGGGTCGGTGGCCCAGCTGGTAGTGCTTGTCTGACATGCATGACATGACATGTGCTGGGCTCCATCCCTAGCACAGCATAGACCTGGCCTATCAATCGGATGTGGTGGTCCATGCCTGTGATCCCAGCACTAGAGAGGTGGAGACAGGAAAATCGAAATTCAAGGTCATTGTTTGAAGCCAGCTTCTAAGATGTGAGACCCTGTTTGTTTGTTTGAGACAGGGTCTTGTGGAATTTCTTCTTCTCAGCATTGATATCTAGAGAACACGACCACGTATGTCTTTAGCTCATTTCTGTGTGTTGGATCCACCTTTTATTTAGTTGTTAAAAGAAAAAACTGTCAGAATGATCGTCTCAGGCTAGAGACATGGCCCAGCAGTTCAGAGCACTGGTGCTCCTGCAGGGGACCGCAGTTCCATTCCCAGCACCCTTGTGGGCAGCTTACAGCTCCAGAGGATCCAACACCCTCTGTGGTCTCTGAGGGCCCTTGCACACACATACATAGACCACACACAAGACATACACATATACACATAATTAAAATGAAGTCTTTTTTTAAAAAAAAAAAGAATTATCAGTTTTGTTTTGGCATTAACAGTGCAGGAACAGCGTGCTCATCCCACCAGCTCCTTTGCCTTGGATCCCTGGAGCTGAAGTTACAGGCGGTTGCGAATCCACTCGCAACCAGTATGGATTCTGGGAATCACTCTAGTCCTCTGGAAGAACAGCAAGTGCTCCCAACTAATGCGCTATCTCTTCAGCCCCCCATTTCTTTTCTCAAATTTTGTACACTGCATGCATGCAGGGCCTGTGGAGGCCTGCAGAGGGCGTCCGATGCCCTGGAACTGGAATTATAGAGTCATGAGCTGCTGGGTTGGTGCTTGGGAATCCACCCTGTGTCCTGTGGAAGAGCAGCAAGTGTCCTTAACTGTCTGTCCAGACTTTGTTTCTTTTCTTACAAAGACTCTCACTATGCCGCTCTGGCTACACTGGAGACTCGTTATATAGACAAAGCTGGCTTCAAACTTAGGGTCCTCCTGCCTACCTGCCTCCAGAGATCTGAGATTACAGGTGTGTACCACCGTATGGAAATCAGAAGGGAAGTTCACATGCAGTCTGCCATTTGTAGCCAATGCCAGTAAATCTAAGTCTTGTGATTTACGAAAATAGGTAGGTAGCAGCAAGTGCTGGAGGAATGGGTTCTTCTGATGCAGAATGATTGTTACTGGGCACAGGGCATCTTTTTGGAGTGGTAAAATAAGTTCTTCAGTTAGTTACAAGTTTGTGATTAAACCCTGGTTATATACAAGTCTGACCATACTAAAATACATCGAACTGTACTATACCTTAAATTTGTAAATTATGTGTGTGAAATTTTATCTCAGTAAGTTTTTTGTCTTTCTTTAAAGTACTTTATGAACCAAACAGAGTCATAGAATCAAAATGGACCAATTAGCAACCCCTGTCCTGGACCAGCGCTCTAAAAGGATCCTGCTCTTATTTGTGAGATGGGAGATCACGGGCCTCTTTCCCACCACATCA